GAAAGACACTGCACATGACACTCTTTGCATGACAGCACACAGCATCCTGTGAGAGTCTCAGCACCCAGCACCCAATGCAGGACTCAGCACACTCCACCTTGTGAAGGACTCAGCATATAGCACCATGGCATGTGCAGGACTCAGCACAGATCACCCTATGGAGGACTCAGCACAAAGCTCTGTTCCACAAGCTATAATTAGAATTAAGGTGGTTTCACATTCTTCGAGGATCATTTCGTATCTATTGGTTTAGTGGGGTGTTTTTATTTTGGGGGAGGTTAGTTATGGCGCTTGAGCTCAAAACACGGGGATACTATTCTAATAACATTTGCTCAAAGCTAGTGCTCTACCATTTCAAGCCATATTTCAAAGATTCTAGCAGACTTCCTGCCAGGATTTAAAGCCCCCAAGCAGCCAAGATGTCTGGGGTAAGCCAGGGTAAGCCAAAATGATGGGAGTAACCCATGGAGCTGGGTTACAGCAGTTTACATCTGGCTAAGTCAGGTTAGGTGACAGCTGTCAGCACCAGACTCCTAGCTTTCTCTGTGATGAGGTATTTGATGTCCTATCCTTCTATAGTTGCAGTGAGTATATTCTACCTTTTTTTTTTTATCTTTTGGCAGTCCTGGGACTTGAGTAAGGGCTTTGACACTGTCCCTAAGTGTTTGTGCTCAAGGCTAGCACTCAGTTGATTGAAAGACAGCAGAACTTCTAGATTTACTTTTTATGTGGCACTGAGGGTTCGAACCCAGGGTTACGTGCTTACTAGTCAAGCACTTAACCAACAAGCCCCAGGAGTGAAAGAGTTATAAATAGATAGAGGTTGCTGTGTATAATTTTCTATACACAAAAGATGTCTGTACATTATTAATTTATAGATAATATTACTACGAATTTTTAGGTATTAACTTGTGTCTCCATTTAATCATGTGTCTCAGTTAACAATTAATAAAGCATTAATTAAAATTATAAGTACATACATCTGTACATAAATTACATATTTTATAGAATGCGACAGATGTCTATATAATTAAATTATGCATCATGTGTTACTACCAATTATTAGGTATTTATGTTTCCATGCAATTTTCTTTCTATTAATGCTTAACAAAATATTAAACTTAATCCATGTCCTATAATTAGTGTGTCTAATTTTATCCTAGATGATTCACTACTAATTCAATCTGTTTTTCATTTATTGTAGTGACAATTCTTCCACCAATGACATTTTTTACATTTATGGCATCCTATTACATAGCATATATATTTGCATCTGAATTATACATCCTGTCACTGAGCACTTTAAAAGAAAAGAAAACATGTGTCACGCTCGGCTTCTTCCTCCTCGATTACATTTTTGGCAGTACTGGGATCTAAATTCAGGGCCTAGAAGGCTCAATTAATGAATGGGTGACTGTCAGCACAGAAGCCTCTACCCAATTCATCGGCCAGGCAGTTCCCAGGCCCTGAGATCGAGCCCCATATGTTGACCACATATTGCACTTAGTGTAGTTATTCGTTTTATTTTTTTATTAATTTATTTACTATTTATTTTATTGACTGTTATTACACATGAAATATTTACTCCATATATTACATAAGATATAGATTTGCCTATGTATGAAACTTCATACCTTACACCCAGGACTTTCAAAGAATCAGAAAACATGTGTCACCATGGGATTCTTACTCCAAGATGCAATTTTTGTGAGTGCTGGCATTAGAACTCAAAGCCTATAAGTCCCAATTCATGAATGGGTGAGTGTCAGCACGCCAGCCTGGGGCATATTGAGCTAACAAGCATTTCTAGCACCTGAGATTGAGCCCCAGGGGTTGACAAAATAAGAACAGATTGACATGCAGATGGTAGTACACAAGTAAATATAGATCTTTATAGAGTGCCAGTGATGTCTATACATTATTCCTGTATATAGACTGCATTCCTACCAATTCTTGGGTATTTATTATGCCTCCATGTAATTAGTATTCTAGTTTTCATCCTTAATGAATTATTAATAAAGCAACAACTGTCCCAAAACTATTGCATCCATGTAATTAATACTATTCTTTGAATGTGTCAAAAATATTCATTAAAATCCATTGGTCACCTAAAATCACTCCATCTAATTGTATAGTAGTATTCAGAAACAACTAATTCAACTTTGCCATTCATAATCTTCCATCGGTAATCCTATGAATAGGAACGAGACTCTTAGTATCTCCCTCCATTGGTAGGGGTCAGGACTGTGCTTCAAACACATGGCCTATGTTGCTGTGTTGGCCTAAGGCTTCCCTGGTGGCCCACCAGCCTTCAGCAATGCCAGGTTACCAACATTTTGCAGCCGTGTCATTCAGTCCCAGAATGGTCACTTTGCAAAGAAAACAAATGTAAAACTGGTAAGTTGCCAGTTTTTATTTTTCTGTGTCGCATTAGTTATTATTGTTTTCCTGTCAGCATTTGAGGCCCAGGAACCCAGGTTTGGCTTTGGGTCCAGTGGTTGCACCCCAGCCTAGAGTGATCAATGCTGAGGCAAAATTGCCACTACCTGAGATCAAGCCCTGTGCTTGAGAAAATAAAAATACCTGCATACACACATATTTAAAATATTTTAATATTTAAAATATTATGAGGCTCCTTGGCCTGGAATTCAGGCCATTGTTTTTGCCAGGCCTGGGATTTGAACTCAGGATGTGGGTAAATCTGTAGCACTGTGGGGGATGGAAAGATCACCGGGCTGGAAGACAAGAAAGTCAGGCCTGTTCCCAGGGCCTGAATTCAAATCCTAGCACTTGAAAAAATAATATTCGTATATATTTGTAATACATGATTCATATTTACATACACATGTTTATTGCATATTGCAGTTAGTGTATTCATTTTATTTTGTGTTTTATTTCTTATGTATTTGAGAGTGAGCATGATTACACATATAACATTTTGCATCCTATTACATAAGACATAGCTTTGCCTATGTATTCTACATCATTCCTGAGACCCAGGACTTTCATCGATACAGAAAACAAGTGGAACAATTGGCTTTTCGAACAGGATTAAGTTTTTGGCAATTCTCTGACTTGAACTCAGGGCCTAGCAGGCCCACTTCATGAATGGTTAAATGTTAGCACACCAGTCTGATGCAATTTGAGGACCTGAGATCAAGCCCTAGGAATGGCCAATATATAAACAGGTAGATGTTTAGATTGCAGTGTGTGTGTGTGTTTGTTTGCGTGTGTGCGTGCATGTGTGTGTGTATTTACATATGTATATGCATCTATAAATATATACAGAGAGAGACAGATAGAAATTTATGTAGAATCTAGTGTATAACACAATATAAAGAGTGTTGTCTGTACCTTATTTTTATATATTCTATTACTACCGATTATTTGGTATAAAATTATGCTTCCAATTATCATGGTAGAAGAATTAACAAAGTATTAATTAATCAATGACCTATATTTATTGCATACAATCTTATACTGGAATGACTAGCTAGTTAGTAATTCAATTAATAAATTTCAAATATTCTATTAATGTTCCTATAGATAGGAATGAGTTTCCTAGGATCTTCAGCTGTGTGTAGGTGGCAGTCCTAGGATCGATCTCAGGGCCTAGGTGTCTGGTTTGGCTCAGGCTTCACTGACAGCCCCTCAGCCATCATCCATGCAAGGTCACATACAATTTTCAAGCCAAGTCATTGAGACTCAGGAGGGTCACAGTGCTAAGGAAACAAAAGTAAAAACTGTTGTGTAACATTTCCTGGTTTTTCCTCCTCCATTTTTGTTGGTTTAATGTATTTTTGCCAGTGCTGGGAGTTGAACTCTGGTCCTAGGATCCCTGGATCATCTGTGGATGTAAAAGTTGCACCACAGCCTAGGGTAATCATGGTTTAAGACACAATAAAATGTTTCCTTGAGCAAAAGGAGCTCAGGGAAAATGTCTAGGCTCACAGTTCAAGCCCAGGACCTGCCACATAAAAAAGAGCCAGTAACTCCATGTGTCTGTGTATGTATGCATGCATTTGTGTCAGTGAAGATCCAGAGTTGCTATGAAGAACGGCACCCAGCTAGGAAATTTGCTTTGAATAGAATGATTTCATAGCACAGAGTGCTTTCAAGACAATCCATGTTTCGGGGCTCCCTCAGTGTTCCCAGTGTAGCCTGAGGGGTCTCCATACCCCAGGCTGCCGGAGGAAGTCGGCTTCATTGTTGGAACAGGCAGACAAAAAGTTTCACTTCTGTAAAGCTGCATAACAAACAATTCATCCGGGCAAATTAATGAGGATGAATGTGCGCAGGTTCTGAAGGTCAGGAGAAAAAGGCCTGTTTGTACCCCAAGCTATCTCTCTCCCCAGTGGTCTGTTTTGATAGGAAACCTTCATTTGTGCCACCTTCTGTGGCAGGCCAAGTTCCCTGCACTCATCCTGTCTTTGTAAGACTATATTTCCTTGTTGAAACAAACTGCTACAATTAATTCAAGAGTCCTTCTGGCAGACAATTAGGGAGCTGAACATAATGGAATGATATATTATTGGCAAAAGTGCCTCCATGTGGTGTGTGTGTGTGTGTGTGTTTGTGTGTGTGTGTGTGTGTGTGTGTGTGTGTGTGTGTGTGTGTGTGTGCATACACCATTCCTGGTGTTTGAACTCAGGACCTAACTGAAGAGCTAAAGTAATTCCATTTTAAGATCAAGCCCCCTGAGCTGTGCTGCCCTCAAAGTAACCCCCAAAGAGAGCTGTGCTGCCAAAGAGAAAAATAGTTCTCAGAAAAACCGCAGGTTGCCACCAACCCTGCCCACCTTTAAAGAACAGAACAGTTGCCCAGGTGTTCCAGCTGAAAAAGGGAAGTGTGATCAGGGTGGACATAAACCCCCTGAACTTGTGAACTTGCTTGTGTGGAAACCCCCTAAACTTGTTTGTTTGATACTATAAAAGCTGTGTCAATTTTATGCTTGGGGCCTCTTAGAATCACCAGTTACCAAGTACACATAGGATCAAGCTCCAGCTTGCAATAAATGACTCTTTGCTGTTTGCATTGATCATGGTCTCTGGTGGACTGAGAGGGGGCGTCCGAAATCTGAGCACTTTATGTGGGAGCTTGTCCAGGATAGCCCCCCCATAAGCCACACAGATACCTGATCAGCGAGTCATCCAGCTAGCCGGTAAGAGGGGGTGCAGCTGCTTTATGTTGCGTGTTATGTGTTTGATTTGCAAGTAGGGTTTTAGAGCTGGCAAGAAACGGTGGTAGATGTGCTACAAGGTAGCCAGCAGGCGAGTTGAAGAAATTCCCTGGGCCCTTGGGGAAGCCTTCCCCAGTGGAGTCTCGCTTCACTCTGTCGTCTTTTGGACCATGACTTGTCCGGTCTCTGCTACTCTGGGTTAAGGGTAGATTATCCACCTCCCGGGTAGGGACTCATCGGCCTCCGCCATCCTATGGGACAGGTACTCGTCTGGCCTCCACAACCGTGGCTTAGGGGTGGATTCGAGCTCGAGATCAACATGCATGCTCTCTTTGTCTCATTTGTAGTTAACATTTTAATTCAGCACCTCTCTTTCTTTCCTTTCCTTGTTCATTTAACTTTCATTTTCGGATCAGCGGGCATCCTGGAGCCCCCCGAATGGGGTGGCCAGACGCTCCTTTCACCTCAGCTGCTCTCCCGTTTTAATACATTTGGAATTTTAGGATGACATCAAAGGTTGACTTATTCTCTAGAAGAGGAGGCAGTGGGGGAAGGGAGAACCTGCAGGATCTAGCAATAACTTTGAAAGGGGCCTGCAGGGAAAACTCTAAGCCAGATGAATCTGCCACTGACCACCAAGTTCCACCAGCAAGATCTTAGCCTCGGGCCTTGGCCCAGAGGGTCTGAATATGGGGGGGAGACTGTCAGTCTGAGGGGATGGCTTCCAGGGTCTTTTTTCCCTTGCCCCAAGATGACTGAGAATTCTCCTCCACCTTGGAAGGCCTCTAGATCAACATTTGCAGGAATCTAAAAAAAAAAAAGAAAAAAAGAAATCCTCTGGTGGTAAGATGTTGCCCAATTCATGGAGATCTGATTTTGTCTTTGTGGCCACTTGTCTGTCTTGTTTACTTTGGTGTCGTTTCTGTTCTATTTTTGAGGTGGGGAAATTCTGGGTGAGGGTGGCCAGCTCACTCAGCAGATTCTGAATTCAGCTTGCTGATTGAGAATGGCGCAGTTCTAGTAGGAATGAACTGAGGGCCCATTAGTCCCCAACTCAGCTTTTGGCTGTTGTCTAGTTCTGCTTTAGAATTGGTACCTGTTTTAAGTGTGGATTCTTGGTTTTTGTGTTTATTTATATTTTTGTTATTTATTTGAATATCTCTGAGGAAATAAAAGTTCTAGCCTCTGGCTGGGCTCAACCACAGACCTGCTAGGCTCGCGTCACTGTGAGGTATGTAAGGTTGCTGGACTAGTCTGGATCCTTTCAGGTCTTGGGCTGAATTTTCTCCTTGTGGAGGCTGCCTGAGCAGAGAGTGTGGAAGGCTATGTACCTGGTTTGGATTTTTCAGCGAGTCCTGACAATGTAACAATTTGTAAAGTGCTCTTGTCTAAAATTGGATAAAATTCAGGCCAGTTTAGTTTTAGGTGACCCCTTCAACCAGCCCTTCTCCAACAGGTGGGATTCAAAAGATCCGTTGATGAATTGCCTTGCTAAACAAGCGAGCCCTGGGAAAATGAAGCTTAACAAAGGTACTTAGTTTAAAAAAATACTGTCTTAAATTTTTGTTAAAAAAACTTTGAAAAAATCTATGTAAAACTGATTTTGATTTATGCACGCTTTAAGATCTGTGTGTTTTTTATGTGTTTGTAAACATGTTCAAGATAAAAATTGTCAACATGCTGTAAAAATTGGGTGAATTTAAGTTTAAAATGTAAAAGGTTAAGAGGTTTAGACATTACTAAAAATTTAAAAAACTTTCACATTGTTTTAAATGGCTTTTTGAGGATTGTTTAACGTAAAAATTAGAAAATCTGTTATTTTAAATTTTAATATTTTTAAATGCTTTGGCAGTTTGGGATTTAGTTCCCTTGGCTAAAATTTCAGGATAAATATTAAAAATTTAAATGGAAAGGTCAATTTAGCACTGTTACAAAACATGATATGTTCTGTCTGTCTAAAACTGTATTTTATTCAAACCTCCCTACCCCCCAAAAAAGGGAAAATTTAGAAGACTACCTAAGATCTATATTTAGGGGTGAGGCTGAATAGGCAGAAGTGTATTTAAGCTGGTCATGCGTGGTGCGACCGACCCGGGGGGGGGGGTGCTTCATAGATGGTGGGACTGGCCCTGGGAGGAGTCCACACATGGTAAAAGAGGGCAAGCTGGCACAAACGCAGTTCATCTAACCTTAAAGAGTCAGATTGGGTGCAGGCACATTCCATAGGAGGGGCTGAGTTGCCCATCTTTGTTCTGTCCCTTTTCCCTGCAGATAGACCCTGAAAACATGATGGTTAAAATGAGTGATGTGATGATCTGATTAGTATTGCTAAAACTGCCCCTTGTATGTGTTAAAATTAAAATTAAAATGGCCTTCAAAAGAGGGTTAAAAAGTTTATTTATATAATGTAACTTGCTTTCAATGATGTTCTACAATTAGGATGTTTTTAAAAGTTATAAAGGTGTTAAGCCTAGCTTCTTGGCATAGTAATGGTGATTGTAATTATTTTTTTTCTAGATTATTATTTGTTTTTATTGTGAAAATACTGTACAAAGGGGTTACAATTACATGGGCAAGATAATGAGTACATTTCTTATCAAGCATTGTAGCATCCTCCTTTGTTTCCCCTTCCCATCCCATCCTTCCCCTATCCCCCCATTCAAGCCTCCAATCACCCCTCACAAACTTTACAACCAAAGTTGTAAAGTTCGTTTTCGACATAACGACTTGTACATCTCATTGTTGCAATATTTCCACCTGTATCCCTATTTAAACGATTCGTTTTTTCTCTTACCCTCCACAAATTATACTAACATCAAATACAGTGAAAGCAGGGGTTATACAATGGGGGAGGCACATACAAAGCAACAAAGATATCATCTTATAAATGTGTTAGAAACAATCGCATGAAAGAAAACAGCATTTGAGTACATATTTAGGGTTCATTTCCCTAGCATAAATTTATCTGAGCTTTTCTGCTTGATTCAGACATATACTATTTATTGGAAATAAGGAAAACCATGGGACCTATATTTCTTTGGGCCTGGCTTACTTCACTTAATATAATTTTTTCCAAGTCTTTCCATGTACTAACAAATGGGGCAATGTCATTCTTTATGATGGAGGCATAGAATTCTATTGTGTGTGTGTGTGTGTGTGTGTGTGTCGCATTTTCTTGATCCATTCATCTACTGAGGGGCATCAGGGTTGATTCCATATCTTAGCTATGGTAAATAATGCTGCAATAAACATATCGTGCTGGTACCTTTAGTGTGGTCTTGTTTGTGAATATTTGTGTAAATGCCCAAAAGTTGGATTGCTGGGTCATAGGTGAGCTCTATGTGGAGTCTTTTGAGGAACTTCCATACTCCTTTGCAAAGAGGTTGAACAAGTTTACACTCCCACCAACAGTGCAGTAGGGTTTACTTCTGTCCACATCTCCTCCAGCATCTGTTGTTATTAGAGTTCTTGATTATAGCCATTCTACCTGGGACGAGGTGGTATCTCAATGTTGTTTTGATTTGCATTTCTTTTATGGCTAGGGAGGTTGAGCATTTCTTAAAGTATGTATTGGCCCTTTTTCATTCCTCTTCAGAGAAGTTTCTCTTTAAGTATTTAGCCCACTTATTTATTGGGCAATTGTTTCTTTGAAGATTTGTTGTTGGGGGATTTAATTTTTTGAGTTCCAGGTATGTTTTAAATATGAGACCCTTGTCCGTTGTTGTATGGCTAGTGAAGATCTTCCCCCAATCCGTGGGCTTTCTATTGATCTTGCAAGCTATGCCCTTTGCCATGCAGAAGCTCTACAATTTCATGCAATCCCATTTTGTCCAACCTTTCTTTAATTTGTTGTCTTTCTGGGTCTCTATTAAGAAAATTTCAGCCTGTGCCAAGGAGACAAAGGGTTTCTCCTATTCCATCCTGTAATGTTTTCAGTGTCTGCTTTGACTCTGATGTCTTTGATCCATTTGGAGTTGATTCTCATGCAGCGTGATATATAAGCATCTAGCTTTAGTTTTCTACAAGTAGTTAACCAAGCCAGCACCATTTACTGAAGAGGCTGTCTTTCTTCCATTCTATTTTTTTAGCCCCTTTATTGAAGATTAAATGGCTATAGGTCTGTAGGTTCATTTCTGGGTTTTCAATTCTATTTCATTGCTTCTGAGGTCTGTTCTTGTGCCAGTAGCAAGCTGTTTTGATTACTATGGCTTTATAGTCGAGTTTGAAATTTGGTATTGATATTTCTCCAGCACTGTTCTTTCTGTTGAGGATAGTTTTAGCTATTCGGGTTCTTTTATTGTTCCATATGACTTTTTGGATTGCTTCTTCTATTTCTTTGAAGAATGAGATGGGAATTTCGATAGGTGTTGCATTGAATTTGTAGATAGCCTTGGGAAGTATTGCCATTTTCACGATGTTGATCTTTCCAATCCAGGAGCATGGGAGTTTTTGCCACTTCTAAGTTCTGTTTTGATTTCCTTTTTCGTTTTTAAAGTTTTCATCATTGAGGTCCTTCACTTCTTTGGTTAAGTTAATTCCTAGGTATTTTATTTTTTTGTGGGGCTATTACAAATGGAGTTGCTTTCCTAATTTCAGCAACACTGTACTCATTGTTGGCATACAGAAAAACCATTGATTTTGGGGGCTTAATTTTTTACCCTGCTACTTTGCCAAAGTTTTAAATCAACTTGAGTAATTTGGGAGTGGAGTCTATGGGATTCTTTAAATACAAGATCATGTCATCTGCAAAGAGGAAGAGTTTTAATTCTTTTTTCTCTATTTGGATCACCTTTATGTTTGCATCTTGTCTTATTGCTGTAGATAAGAATTCTAATACTAGATTGAAGAGAAGTGGTAATAGTGGACATCCTTGTCTTGTTCCTGAGTTAAGAGGAAATGACTTTAGTTTTTCACCATTAAGTATAATGCTGGCTGTAGGTTTGTCATATATAGCCATTATTGTATTGAGGAATGTTCCATGGATTCCTAATTTTTCCAGAACCTTCATCATAAAGGGGTGTTGGATCTTGTCAAATGCTTTTTTTTGCATATATTGAGATAATCATGTGGTTCTTATCCTTGCTCTTGCTTATGTGATGAATTATATTAATTGATTTGCGAATATTGACCCAGCTTTGCATCCCTGAAATGAATCCTGTTTGATCGTGGTGTATGATTTTCTGGATGCGTTGTTTAAGACGACTGGCCAAAATTTTGTTGAGAAGTTTTGCATCAATGTTCATCAAAGTAATGGGTCTACAGTCCTCTCTCTTTAATGAGTCCCTGCCTGGTTTTTGGATGAGGGTTATCATAGCTTCATAGAATGAGTTCAGTAGTGAACTTTCTCTTTCAATTTTATTTAAGAGTTGGAGAAATATTGGTGTCGGCTCTGTTTTGAAGGACTTGTAGAATTCCACTAAAAAGCCATCTGGTCTTAGGCTTTTCTTAGATGCGAAGTCTCTTATGGCTGTTTCTATGTCAATCCTTGATATGGGCCTGTTAAAATGGTTTAACTCATCTTGGTTCATTTTTGGCATGTCAGTATTTGCTAGGAAAAGTCCCATTTCTGCCAAGTTTTCAAACTTATTAGCATAAATTTTTGAGAAGTATTCCCTTATAATGTTCTGTATCTTGGTTGTTTCTGTGGTGATGTTTCCATTCTTATCTCTGCGTTTATTTATTTGGGTGCGTTCTCTTCTTTTTCTGATAAGATTTGCTAAGGGTCTGTCAATTTTATTAATTTTTTTGAAGAATCAACTCTTTGGTTTGTTGATTCTTTCTATATTTTTTGGATTCTAAGTCATTTAATTCTGATTTAATTTTAATTATTTCTTTCCATCTACTGGATTGGGGTTTATCTTGCTCCTCTTTTTCAAGAAAGCTCAGATGTCTCATTAAATTGTTGGTTTCAGATCTCTCCAATTTGTTGATGTAGGACCTCAGAGCTATAAACTTGCCCCTGAGTATTGCCTTTGCTGTGACCCAGAGAAGCTGGTAATTTGCATGTTCATTGTTGTTGAATATCATGAACATTTGAATTTCCTTTCTCATCTCTTCCATGACCCACTCGTGAATCAGCAGTGTGTTGTTCAGCCTCCATGTGTTACAGGATTTTCTTTGGTGGCTTTTGGTGTTGAGTTCTAATTTTATTCCCTTGTGGTGTGAGAGAATGCAAGGTATAACTTCAATGTTTCTGAATTTGGACAAGTTTGCTTTGTGGTCTAAAGTGTGGTCTATTTTGGAAAATATTCCTTGTGCTGCTGAGAAAAACGTGTATTCTGATGCTGCTGGGTGGAATATTCCATAGATGTCTGTTAAATCTAGTTGATCTATGCAGTTTTTTAGATCTCCATTTTCTCTGTTGAGTTTTTCTGAGTTTATCTATCTAGTGGGGAAAGTGGTGTGTTAACGTCCCCAACAATTCAAGTCTTTGGAGATATTGGGATTTGGGGGAAAATAGTGTTTCTTGCATAATTTTGGGTGCTCTGTTGTGTGGTGAATTGTGATTGTAATTCTTGCATTAAGAATAA